ATTACATGACTCAGCAAAAACCACGACATCAACGTGACACGTGAAAACACAGGTGAGATCGTCCTGGTTACCCCGGGTTACCGTTAAACTCACGTCATCGTTCAGGTGAGACTCACCTTGTCGTCCAGCTGCTGGTACAGGTCGGTTATGAGCGTTTCGTACTGCGTCTTCTCCTCCTCAGACAGAGGAACAGGGGGCGGGGCCGAGCTGTCACTCACTGCGTTTGTGTCGGCGTTGCTGCTCTTCTTGGTTCTGTTGCTCAGCTGCTCTTCTACAGGTACAGACTCACCTGGACAGGTAAGGACCGGATTAACCATAACTCTGACTTTAACATGCAGAGGTCCTGCTCAGCAGTTTTCACGGACAGACGGCGCCGTTTGCACGTGTGCAGTGTTCACCTTTCCTCCAGCGTTTTAACTCGTTCTCCAGTTTCTGGATGATGACGTTCAGGCTCCGGTTCTTCTCTTTCTCCTTCTCGTATTTCTTCTTCCACTCCTCCGCCGTCAGCTCCAGGTTGACAGACACCGTGTTCTTGATGGTCTTGGCTCTGAGGAGGACAGGAGGACAGTTTGAAACTCGGCCAATAAGATTGTGTTGAAGTGGTCGGAGGATATCAGCTGTTTCCTCAGGTGAGACTCTCAGGTGAGTCTGTGTGACGTACCTCTGTCCGAACATGAGCGTGGACTTGGTTTCAGCCTCGTTGTAAACGGACGGCGAGCAGCAGATGATGATGGTGGTTCGACAGTTTCCTCCCAGAGAGTCCTGCAGGATCCTGGTCATCTTACTGTCTCTGTACGGGACGTGAGTTTTCTGGGAAACACACAAAAGGACAAACACAGTTCCTGGATGACTCCACTTCCATCCTTAGGTTCCTGGAGGTGAAGAACAGGAAATCTGAGACGGAGACATTCATCAACTTCTCCAGGTCTCCAGGAGAGCAGCCTCGTGTCAGCGACGCTGAGAGAGTCCATCACGTATGAACTGATGATGTAACAGGTCACACTCTGTAAGCTAGACCGCTGTCAGCTGATGTTGTCATGGTGATCACTAACTCACCGTTCCTTCGCTCAGAGCCGCGATGACGTTCCCCAGAGCCGACAGAGATTTGTTGATGTTCTTCGCTTCGTCCAAAACTGAACCTTCAGCTCCGGTTTTACTGACCTGGACAAACGAACACCTTCATCATCATCTTCATCATCACCTTTACCATCATCATCATCCTCATCATCATCTTCATCATCATCATCATCATCATCATCCTCAACATCATCTTCATCATCATCATCATCATCATCATCACCATCATCACCTTTACCATCATCATCATCCTCATCATCATCTTCATCACCATCATCATCATCTTCATCATCATCACCATCACCATCATCATCATCATCTACATCACCTTTACCATCATCACCATCATCATCATCATTATCTACATCACCTTTACCATCATCATCATCATCATCATCATCATCATCATCTTCATCATCATCACCATCATCATCACCATCACCATCATCACAATCATCATCATCATCATCATCTACATCACCTTTACCATCATCATCATCATCATCATCTACATCACCTTTACTATCATCATCATCATCATCATCATCATCTTCCTCAGTAGATTATTCTACTCCGTTCTGTTCAGGTTCATTCATTCGTTCACAGATCTGTTCACTCTTCATCTTCACTCATTAGTTATTTTGTGGCTAAAAAAAGAGTTTGTTGTAGACAGAGTGTGTGTGTGTGTGTGTGTGTGTGTGTGTGTGTGTGTGTGTGTGTGTGTGTGTGTGAGAGAGTGTGTGTGAGCGTGTGTGTGTGTGTGTGTGAGACCTTCTCGCTTCCTGCCAGGTCCACCAGGTAAAGTTTTCCCGACAGTTTCATCTCCGTCTCCACGTTCTCCTGCTTGATGTTGATGAGGAAAATACTGTGACTGCGAGAGCTGTGCTCGTTCATGTCTGCAGGAGGAGACACTTCATTAACCCACCGACCAATAAGCAGTCACCACAATCATCAATAACTTCAACAACCAATCACATCAATCAATCAATCAACTTATTATCAATTATTCAACTAAACAGTCAGTCAAATGTAACACATATAAGATGTTTTTTTGTAGCAGCAGCAGCAGTACTGCAGTAGAATAAGCAGGAGTATCAGCAGTATTATCAGCAGTATCAGCAGTAGTATCAGTAGTATTGCAGTAGTATTGCAGTAGTATCAGTAATATCAGCAGTATTATCAGCAGTATCAGCAGTATTATCAGCAGTACTGCAGTAGTATCAGTAGTATTGCAGTAGTATCAGTAGTATTGCAGTAGTATCAGTAGTACTGCAGTAGTATCAGTAGTATCAGCAGTATTGCAGTAGTATTGCAGTAGTATTGCAGTAGTATCAGCATCACTGCAGTAGTATCAGCAGTATTGCAGTAGTATCAGCAGTAGTATCAGTAGTATTGCAGTAGTATCAGCAGTATTGCAGTAGTATCAGTAGTACTGCAGTAGTATCAGCAGTATTGCAGTAGTATCAGTAGTACTGCAGTATTATCATTAGTACTGCAGTAGTATCAGCAGTATTGCAGTAGTATCAGTAGTATTGCAGTAGTACTGCAGTCGTATCAGTAGTATCAGTAGTATTGCAGTAGTATCAGTAGTATTGCAGTATTATCAGTAGTACTGCAGTAGTATCAGTAGTAGTATTATAAGGACTGACTGGTGACGGCCACGTGTCTGTTTGCTTTTCCTTCATCGATGACGTCCATCACTTCATCAGGACTGGAGACGAAACGCTCCGTACAACCCTGACACAAAGTACAAATACACAGTATTAGTACACAGAAATACACACAAACACAGAGTACAAATACACAGTATTAGTACACAGAAATACACACAAACACAGAGTACAAATACACTGAATTAGTACACAGAAATACACACTAACATACAGTACAAATACACAGTATTAGTACACAGAAATACACACCAATACAGAGTACTAATACACAGTATTAGTACACAGAAATACACACCAACACAGAGTACTAATACCAAGTATTAGTACACAGAAATACACACAAATACAGAGTACAAATACACAGTATTAGTACACAGAAATACACACCAACACAGAGTACAAATACACAGTATTAGTACACAGAAATACACACAAACACAGAGTACAAATACACTGTATTAGTACACACAAATACACACTAACATACAGTACAAATACACAGTATTAGTACACAGAAATACACACCAATACAGAGTACTAATACACAGTATTAGTACACAGAAATACACACCAACACAGAGTACTAATACAAAGTATTAGTACACAGAAATACACACAAACACAGAGTACAAATACACAGTATTAGTACACAGAAATACACACCAACACAGAGTACAAATACACAGTATTAGTACACAGAAATACACACAAACACAGAGTACAAATACACTGTATTAGTACACACAAATACACACTAACATACAGTACAAATACACAGTATTAATACACACAAATACACACCAATACAGAGTACTAATACACAGTATTAGTACACAGAAATACACACTAACACAGAATACAAATACACAGTATTAATACCCACTAACTCTGTTGAGTATAATGTCCCAGAGTGGTACAGTGGTACTGCTGCAGATATTGCAGTATAAATACTGCAGTACTCACTCACCTTCACATAAGGAACTCTGTTTTTGTCCTCGTGGACGGACAGGTTGGTTTTGGACACTGAAACATCAAAGACATCAAAGTTTTCTCACGTCTCTGTGAAAATATTTGGAGTTAAATGAAAACATTTTTTACCGTCCAGCAGGTCCCTGATCTTATCCAGGTAGATTTCAAAATAAGAGACCTGCAAAGGGAGACAAAGGAGAGTCTTCAGGACACTCAGAGTCTAAGATCAGGGAGACACTTCAGAGTCTGTCCTCTGAGCTGAAGATCCTGTGAGACATTAGACCTTCTGAAGGATCGCTGATATCCTGTTCTTGAGTCAATAAAGATGTAAGAATGAGAAGATTTCAGAGCGATCATCTGATGGAAGAACAAACACGAGCTCATTCAGACCGAACATCTACAGACCCAACATCTACAGACCCAACATCTACGGACCCAACATCTACAGACCCAACATCTACAGACCAAACATCTACAGACCAAACATCTAAGGACCGAACATCTACAGACCCAACATCTATAGACTGAACATCTACAGACCGAACATCTACAGACCGAACATCTACTGACCAAACATCTACAGACCGAAAATCTACAGACCGAACATCTACGGACCGAACATCTACGGACCGAACATCTACAGACCGAACATCTACAGACCCAACATCTACAGACCCAACATCTACAGACCGAACATCTACTGACCGAACATCTACAGACCGAAAATCTACAGACCGAACATCTACGGACCGAACATCTACGGACCGAACATCTACAGACCCAACATCTACAGACCCAACATCTACAGACCCAACATCTACAGACCGAACATCTACAGACCGAACATCTACTGACCAAACATCTACAGACCGAAAATCTACAGACCGAACATCTACGGACCGAACATCTACGGACCGAACATCTACAGACCGAACATCTACAGACCGAACATCTACAGACCCAACATCTACAGACCGAACATCTACTGACCGAACATCTACTGACCAAACATCTACAGACCGAAAATCTACAGACCGAACATCTACGGACCGAACATCTACGGACCGAACATCTACAGACCGAACATCTACAGACCCAACATCTACAGACCCAACATCTACAGACCGAACATCTACTGACCGAACATCTACAGACCGAAAATCTACAGACCGAACATCTACGGACCGAACATCTACAGATCGAACATCTACAGACCCAACATCTACAGACCCAACATCTACAGACCGAACATCCACAGACCAAACATCTTCAGACCCAACA